GACAGCTTTAAAATGATCTCTGAGATCCCAAATATACTCAAAATGTTAACTTAACAATTTCTAGGGCTCGGAAAAGATACTGCAATATTTCCTGATATAGAAACTGGGGTTTATACAGATTTAGCTTGAATTAGCAAGAGGTGCTTCTCAAGCTGATCAAAAGCAATGTGTTGGTACCTTTTTAGCAGACTGTGTTACTAAGAAAGAGTATCTTCAAAACAGCTTAAAAAGAAAGACTATCTTTTACAAAAGAGTTTTTTTAAACATATGGACTTCAATAATAAGACTTTTTGGTGCCTTGATGAATATAAATTTTAGTACTTTTAGTTTGCCTTTTCCAATTACTTTGAAAGTTTCAGTAGAAAGTGTATTTTTCTCTACTACCATTATTAAACTGTTGTGCAGTTTGAATACTTTGTTCCATGTAGTTAAGTAGGAATGGAACTGATTTCCATAAAAGTGATGAAAACTCTATAATGTAAGATGATTACTGTGATTTTTTTCTTTTTCCTTTGTTTAAATGGTATTGGTTAAAAAGTTTCTTTGTTTTTTTCTTCCATTATATATTTCAGCATTTAATTTTTTATGTTAAATTTTCTACTAGAATTTTCTACTTTTCTATTCTTTATTTTTCTATTTTTGTTATATTTTCTACTATTTCTCATTGCTGTTCCTGGATAAATCCGAAATAAGCCTTTTTTTCTGATTAGAAACCTAATACATTGGTATTTTTTCTCCCTGAGGTTTACTCCCTTTTGCAATTCAAACTTCACCAAGATATCTTCCTACCATGACTCTTCATGAACACCCAAGGAAGTGAAGAAGATAATTTGCTTCTTGAGTAATGGAAGTTGCATTTTGGCAATGCAGGGAAAGCTGCCTGACTTGCACGGCACATGGCAGCTTCTCTATTCCCTTGGTTGGTGTTTCATTGCTTCTTCTGTTCTAGTGCTTGATAAAGTCAAGGAGACTTTCAGCCAGAAAAAGTTGTTTTTCAAGTCTCAGATTAACTAGCTGCTGATGCTGTTTCCCAGTAATTGCACTGTTGAATGAATGAAATGAGAACTGAGTTGAGATAGACATTTCACTGATCATCTATCAGCATCTCGGTGGCCATTGGTATTGTGGTGACAGATGTTTCTGATTTAATGGCACTTTAGGAATAAAGCTAGTTGCACAAGGAAAATAATCCAGTGCAGCTAACCTGAGTTCAGATAAAATATATAGGAGTTCTGCAATGAAATGATGGTTCAGTTTCAGCAAAATATATCCAGAAATCTGTAAGGTTGTGAAATTGGCTTTATCATGTAAGCATAGAAGAAAATTTGCTGGCTTCTCTTCTGACTAGCTAGCCAGCCCTTGGGTAGTTCCAGGGCAGCCAATCTGCCTGGGTAAATTAGGACACTAAAATTGTTGCTATTGCTGTTAAAGAAGTAAAGGCAGAACAGAGAAGCATAAAGTACTAGATAATTAAGTGCATTCAAGTCAACAGGCCTCCCCTGAAGTTCAGCCTAGAAAAAAGGTTCTCAAACTGCAGTTCTAATAGTAATAATTTGGTGTATTAGAAGGGGTGGTGTTAGTAGGTCGAGAGAGGTTCTCCTTCCCCTCTACTCTGTCTTGGTAAGACCGCATCTGGAATATTGTGTTTAGTTCTGGGCCCTTCAGTTCAAGAAGGACAGGGAATTGCTTGAAAGAGTCCAGTGCAGAGCCACAAAGATGATTGAGGGAGTGGAGCATCTCCCTTATGAGGAGCGGCTGAGGGAGCTGGGTCTCTTTAGCTTGGAGAAGAGGAGACTGAGGGGTGACCTCATTCATGTTTATAAATCTGTAAAGGGTGAGTGTCAG